AAACCGAGATGAGCTACCAGGACTCAAACCGGCCTGCACAAGCTTGTCTTCAGCGAGGTAGTCCGAGTAGAGGAAGTCGAGCTCCGCCCAAGACTTGAGCGTCTCCCTTATCTTCAGGTTCAGTCTAACACCAGGAACCTGAATTGCTGGCCTCTAATGGGTTGGGAAGGGCCACCCCTCGGAGCTATGGACTACGAAGTAATTCCATTTCCAGGCCGGGATCCTGTTGAGAAGTTCGTGCAATAGCTTATAGCCCGGGCAAGGAGACAGGTAATAGGTTCTCCTATGCTCGGGAAGAGCACAGGAAGAGTTTTTCTTTATTGATAAAATGGTAGAAAAGATATCGAGGTCAAGGGGAAGACAATACTCATAAAAAAGCGAAATGATCCATATTACGTTGCGGATGGAGTTCGGGTGTAACTGGTCTATGGTAATGTCAAAGGACTTCAAAACCTCTACGATCAAAGGATGTAAAGGAAGGCGAAGGCCAGCCACGAGCTGCTCTTCAAAAATCACGATCTCGTTATGATCGTGTTCCCAGGGGAAGTTACCCGAAGGAAGACTATAGGAGAATTCTCTCGGAAGGTTGTACTGGTATACTAAGGCCTGAAGCCGGTCCAAGGTCATTGTCGAAGGGCCAAAGTTGTCCGGCACCCGACTTCGGTGAGAAGTGGATGCCTGACTACCTGAGGCCTCTCGAGCCTCCCGAGGTGCCTGTACCTCGGAAAGGCCACGGACCACCTCTAAATCCAAAACAGCCCCACCTCGGCTACCGACCTGGGCCGAGGTACCCACCTCGGCCTCATCAAAAAGACTATTAGAACTGGAAGAAGACATGAAGGTTAACAGAATTGAAAAGAAAGGTGAAGGGAGACTCACCAAAGAAAGACGACCGGACTGGAAGAAAGTGGTGAACTAGAAAACCCGAGCTAAAGAAGCTAAGCGCGACCTCAGATCGAAGACTAGTAAGCTTGTGGCGAAGGAAATGAGTCTTGGGTCCCCCTATTTATAGCCACTGTATCGAAGAAGCGACGGTTGAGATCAAAGCAATCAGACGGTTCCTAAGAAAACCGGCTGCATGACCCTCGAGATCGAAATTGGTTTAGCACGTTTTTTGGCATTCGCAGAACCTATAGATCACTTGACGTCCGCGTGTGAACTGCACGCAATCCATCTGACAGAGCACCTAGACTTCGAGCCAAATCCACTTGGCATACCGTGAACTTTCCAGACGAGGTCAAGACCCCTAGCTCGAGGAGTGGGGGGCAATTGATGAAGGAGAATTTGGCCCGACCTCATGACAGGGAGACACGTGGACGTGACTCAACACGAGTGATAGCTCAACATGAATCAGCTCGCTACGAAGCGAGCTTGGGTAAGCTGGTACCCCGAACTTAAGTCACTTTGAGCTAAGATTGTCTCGGCACCAGATCGTGACAAAACGAAACCAAGTTCGTTACAGATCGTACCCGGACCGATGGATCACCTCGGTCCAAGGGCACTTCGGCATTCGTATCAGGGCAGACCTAAGGAGCACAAGCTCGAGGAGCTCGCTACCAGTCAGCTCGCCATCAAACCGCTCGATATCCTACAGGCGACTTGCCTACCGTTCAGACCTCCGAATGGCAACCTCGAGGAGCACACCATAGTACTCTGTATCTTACAGGGTCGTACCTCGTAACGGTCACATTAGTTCACCATCTCCCCGGTTCTGATGGGAAGGGACAGTATTACCGTTTGACGGTGTTTCGCCCACCTAACACGCAAGCAAGTCCCATCACAGCTGGGATCCAGTAACTGTTCCACCAACCCGCATGGACCCCAGTATATAAAGACTCCCCCCCCCAGGGGCGAGGTATGTTCTATCATTATTGTTGTGTGTGTAATCTTCACTCTCTAGTTCTCTCACTGTTATCGTTTTCAAGCTCTCTACTATCACTGTGCACTAACTTAGCCATCGATGTATTTTCGCCGGGTGAGCCACCCCGAGATCTCTGACTCATTTCTTTCAGGAAACCCAGTTTTTACCATTACTGGCAACCAGATCATATCCAACAGGGAGCAGCCGAATTACGCTACATCACAAAGCATGATCCACATTACAGGTCTACATCCACACAGCCGGGAGGACTGAGGAGGCTTCTCCGGTCTTGTTGTGTACGTTATACAGTTATAAACCGATAAATGCAAGTGTTAGTTAGAAATAGGCATAGGCTAGCTTGCTAGCTACATGTTTACAACTTCCTTTATGTAAGCTTGGACTTCATTAATTGACTTGAAAGCTGGCTTGTTAATTATGCAAACCTCCTTTCAATGTAGCTTCCAAAGTAACAATGGTTTGGTCCAATCTTGGAAATTAACTAGTTGAGTTGTGACTACACTAATCAATATGAGATGACTACATTAATTAGTTGATCAGTCAAATACATAAGGTTATTTATGAGAAAACAGTTTTGGGATGGGAGAAAACGGTAATACTTGTTTTTGTTTTCGGTTGAATTCGAGTGTAAGACACAGTTTGGTCATTCAAAGAAACTCTGAAATATTAATTCTGTAGGCCCCGTCAAGTTGACAAGCATTATTGCTTGGCTTCTGTTCGACCAATTATCCTTCGATCAGCATGTGGATTTTGATTGGAGTCAATTCACATGATCATGAATTAATTAATATTGGTGCTTAATTGGTGGGTGGTACGTGCCATTAGTGCAGGTAATTGGTATATTTGTATGCTGGAATTGGTGGTGGGCCAGACTCTAAGAGAGCATCTCAAAGGTATATATGTATGTTTGAACATTCAAAACCCTTGCTCTCTCTCACACACACACAGATTTTGAGCAGTTGTAAAGTTGCATAGACCATGCATCTTGGTTCCTAGCCACTTCAATTCCCCATTAATCCATGCAAGCCAGTGAGAGACAGACAGAGATACAAAGGGTGCAACCAGCTGCAACTGTGCTTGACACTTGTATATTTAGCTGATAAAAAAAAAAAAAAGAACAAGACAACACTCCAATTTCCAACCGCTCACTCCCTCGGACAATATTCTCTTGGCTCTTACTCACACAATCGGGCCTAGTCCGGCAGGCGCAATTAATGAATGCATAGGCTCTAGCCAGTTAGAAATAAGGGCAGTCATTGGTTCTGTGGTGAGTGGTGTGCCGTGATTGCCATAACTATTGTTCACCAATATACCATAGCTGGTGCCCTTTCTTCTCATCTATCCAGTGTACTTCAACAACTCTGATTCCGGTATGATCCACTCGGGTTTTATGAGATTTTCAATTTAACCCTTCATTCAACCCAATCTAAGTTGGCTACAATCAAGAATTAACTGATGGCTTAGAAGTTCTTTTACCACGGATGGCTTGGAAGTTTGTTTCTTTTTTTTATACAAGAAACAGAGCAATACCAATATATACAACCCTACACTCATCTTCACATGGAAAACTAACTCTCTGCAATATGTTTTCTAACTCTTGGTCGTTACATTAAGTATCCTATTTGAAGAACTTACAATAAAGTCGATTGATTAGTTGCTCTTGCTAATATATATACCTAGTAAGAAATTGATTAGATGGGTATCAATTTTAATTTTATTATCAGATACTTTATATAATTTCTTTCTCTTTTATTAACTACGCATAGGTGTGTAAATGGTAATAAATACAGCCATCAGCCAGTGTAAAGACAAACCAAAGGTCATATATATATATATAGCCGGCCCATTTAATTGATTAAATTAATTAAAGTGAGCCAAAAGATGAGTTGTGTAGTTATCATCCATCAGTCCAGTTTGAAGCAACAATGACGAAATGTGTGTCTACGCGGCCGTCTGATAACGGCTGAACTAGCTAAACTGAATGATTTATTGTTTTTTAGTGATGAATAAAATGGTTAAATATTAAAATATTCGTGGGTATATATGGTATGGTATCCAACCTGATTTTTAAGGAGCGCCCACAACCCAACCTCCTTAACAACCTAATTTTCACAGGAAGACAAAGCAATAAATAAATTAGTTCAGCCACTTGAGCAGTCCTCAAACGGATGTTGATTTGACAAAGGGTGGGCAAAAGAAAGAAAAAGACTAGAAAACTACCCCGGACTAATAAATATTTACCACCTAACACGATCGGAATGGATTTACTCAACCCAACCCACCCTTCTTTATCCGGTCCTGCGCTGAGTTAACCCAGTGCCAGCCACCTCTTACTCTTAGGTGCCCCATTTTTGTCTAGTAGCCCAATCTCACCTTTATGCATTCAATTTCAAATTGAGACTTGAGAGGCTGCTACGTACCTATACTATATATATATATATATAGTTAAAGCTGATGGTTACAACATTTGAAGAGACTTTGGGAGGTTGGTGGTGGCGATGAATTATATGTGTTCTATATAATCTCTCTTATATGTTTTAATTAGTAATAAATCAAATCCAACTAACTTTGGTCTTAGGTTGACAAAAAAACATATATAACAGCAAGACTTTCAAGTTTGGGTTCCATTAGCTTTCAGATTAAGTTTGTTTGAATGGTAAATTGTAAATCAAACCTCATATGATCTCTGGCTTTCAATTAAAATAACCCACCCTAAAGCTTGGATAATGAGTCTCAAATAAAAATACAGATCATTAATTATACATTGTATATGCAAGGGAAGGAGGCGGGATAGATCTGCTGGTGAATCATGATTTGCCCAGTATTGCAAGCAGAACAGTTACATAGGTGATGGAATTATAGAATTATGGTGGTCCATGAGCTGTGTAATTAAGGTCGGAGGCTGGATCAGTGAGCAGTGATCGGACGAGCACTGTTGCCAAATGCCAACTCAAAACGTGAACACATGTGTACCATCAATGAGTTTCCCTTGTAGTATCGTTGCCATTTAATGCCATGATGGAGTGGTTTTCCCGGTTGCTCTTACTCCTTGTTCGAACGTACATATGGATATAAATAAGAATGAACACACTCAGAACTCAGAATTAGGTCCAACCAGAGAAAGACAACTTGAGATCGGTGAGAGGAATTAACCTTTGAATATCTTTCCTAGTCCTTCAATGGCTTTGTTGGGGATGCTAAAGCTTTGTCTCAATATATTTTTCTGTGTCAACCTACTAGCTTCTTGTCAAGGTTCTTCTTTTCCTTTCTTTTTAATTTCTTGATCATTTTGATTTTGCTAAACCCCGCTTGCATTTCTTCTGATTTTTGTAGTTTCTGTTTTTTTTTTTTTTCCTTTTGCTCTTATGTGATGTCTTCTTCTTCTTCAAGTTCAACTGTAATGGGAGCTCAGCAGGAAACACGAAAATGATGACCGCCTTTCTTGTTGCTTTTCTTTTTTACTGATTGAGACAGCACATGGTTTCTTTCCTGTATTTGACTTTAGGTGGATTTCATTGGGTCCATTCAAACTTTGCCATGAATGGGGAGTACTCTCCATATCTTGATGTCTCGATCGATAAGACCGGTGTACCAAGAAAACTGAAGAGTGGGGAAAAATTAAGAAGAGAAGTCTACGATGGGTGTAATCCCAAAGACATCTCGATCACAAGCCTCAACTCTTCACCATCTCATATTGGCTTCATTCCAGTATGCTGCCTGCGTTTCCATTTATTATACATCTCCTTCAACATTTGGTTCCATTACACTTCTCCTATGATTTTCCATTTCATGCGCGCACAACTTTCTAATGCACCAAAGTAAAATTATTCCAAAAAAATGAATTAAATGATTTGATAATGCATGTGTTTCTACTTTCTACATGTAAATATGCATTGTTCTACTGTGTATATGTTCTATATATGATTAAATTAATGATGTATGTGGAATGGGAATGAATTAATAATGCAGGTAAGGTGGATTACTCTGAATACGGATTTCCCTTTATCAAGCCGGCAAGCACCTTCACATCGTCGGCAATTCAGTCGAACAGATGGAGAAATACGTATGACTACATAATTGTAGGAGGTGGCACAGCTGGGTGTCCCCTAGCAGCCACCCTCTCCCAGAAGTACAGAGTTCTCTTACTAGAGAGAGGGGGTGTACCATTTGCCAACCACAACGTCTCCTACTTGCAGAACTTCCACATCTCTCTGGCAGACACCTCACCCACCTCCGCATCTCAGGCTTTCATCTCCACCGACGGAGTCATTAATGCAAGGGCTCGGGTGTTGGGTGGAGGCACTTGCATCAATGCTGGCTTCTACACAAGAGCAAGCTCCAGGTATATACGCGTGCAATATATTTTTAATTTGTTTTGAACTCCTTTAGTAATTAGTGGGGTTTGAAATTAGCAATGCCAGTGAAGTAGTGGTCAGCAACAGAGAACCTCCTCAGTTCCTCATCTGGGGAGAGGAAGAATTCCTGCTGTTACAGTACTACTGTCGTCCAGAGTTGTACTTTCCACGTGTTGGGCATTTACATGGCCAAGACTCAGGACCCACCGTTAGATGCTAGCTTCACGTACATGTGAATGTCTGCATGGTGTTTTCTGTGATGAGCAACACTAAGCTTAGTTCCACTTCATTCTGCAGTTCATCATGGGGATGGGTTTCTATGATTTCCTTTCTTGTTCACTCTAGATAGTAATTAGTTGAATGATGGGCTCTCTTACTCTCTATCTTCTTCTTAATTCTCTGAACCGTTTTCAAGGCATTGTTTCTTTTGGGTATCAGAACTAGGGGTTTCTAGTACTCGACCTTCTACATCTGGGGTATTCAATTCTCTGAGGGGTAGTGTGGCGGGTGAGTGGACCAACTTTGGTCCTTCCGACTTAACTATACAAATTAAATTCGACTTGATAGAGTTTAATGGTTCTGGGAAGGATCGGTGGATTCAAAGATGGAATGTTTTGTCAATAGACCTCTCTCAGAATTGAATGGCAGCCCAGACGAGGCCATACCAATTACTAAATATTGCTGGTCCAGTTTGGTTTGGTTGACTGGCACAGAAAGGCTTAACCCAAAACCAGTGTTCTGCCTCACTTAATATGGCCACGAATCCTTCCTAATTAAAGTGAATAAGCCCTCTATGTTAATGGAGCTAATGCCTGGCCCATAAGGGAAGTGATACCATCTCATCTCTTGTTGCCTTTGGTGGCCCACATGTATCTAGATTCTTGAGGTATGAGTTAAAACTGGGCCCAGTTGGGATAATTGGATCCCAGGATTTGGCCAACCACGAGTCCATGACTTCCTGCCTGCTACATTTAATTACATTTTCTAATTCTCTCAGAAGTGGAGTGGACAGTCGTTAATAGCTGGCTGCCGCTGGCTACAACAAAGCTGTCATGTGTAGAAACCTCATTGAACTAAATGCCTGGGTACGAATCTTCCAGATATCCAGAAACTAAACATAGAATAATAACAGATTGTCAGCCACAGCTTCTATCTATATCCATTCCATGGAAATAGTACCCTTCTTCCATATCCACCCCGCAAACCAAACACCGTCTAAAGAAATGAATTTGCCTACCATGGAATTTAGTTGGTCATCTTTTAACTTACGGTTTATGAAATACTTTTTATATGTTTGGCATCGATGTTGCAGATACAGCACGATGCTGCTGATGTGTGGGTTGGAAACATCGTTTTCTTTTTTTTGTTTGGAAATGTTGTTGTCGGATAGGACGTTTTCTAGAGCAACAACAACACTTTCTATTTGGTACCAGTGCTCCAGATTTGTTTTCAGCACTGGTGCCCATTATAGAAAGTTCATGTCACTGGCACATCATGTCTTCATTGGCAGCAACAAATTCCAATATGAGAAAACATCAAATTCGGTATTGCTCTAAACCACGCCTTCTCGATTTCCAAGGCATGGCTTGGAGTTGGAGTACCGTTTTTTCCGATGTGGTGCTGATATATCACCATTTTCTGAAACAATAGCATCAAACAGATGCTTTGTTGCTTTGTCTGATAGTGACAAAAGTCGTTAAATGGGTTTGGAGTTTTTTTTGGTAAATAATCGAAGGATTTCAATAAAATATGGAAAAGGAACAAGAAATCAGATACAAAAATCAAACCAAACCAACAATAGAAAAAAAAAAAAGAAAGCTAACTAAAGTCTGTTTGGAAAATTATTTATATGGGTAAGTATATTTATTTATAACTGTTTTAACCATAAAATTTCATTATTAAAAGAGGCATTTTTGTTCCATCCAATTATTAATAACTTTTTTTTACAGCCCACCAGAAAAGTAAATTTTTCCTAATCCTCACGTAAATCTAAAAAAAGAAAATAATTTTTTTGAGAAGAAATGGACATGTTGGATGAGTCATCATCATATCTCTAAATATTTAATTATACGACTATGTTAGCATAATGAGCAACATTTAGGCCAGTCACTGTAGCAATAATGAAGCCGTCCTTTCGACTTAATAATGCATGGAAAAGGACTGCATGCAACGACTTAATAATAATTAAGCACTTCAAGGGGTGCAACTCAGGGGGTTAGGAGTTAGGACAGGTTTAAGTTCCACCTAGGTAGCTTAAGGTCCGAATCCATACTGAACCCGAGATCAAACCCGAGCTGTAATTCGGGTCAGTCCATATTGAAATCTTAACGAGTTAGAATGTGCTTGGGTTCAAAATTATTAACCCAGGCCCAACTCAAGAACCGAAAGTCCAATCCCAACCTGTGGCTTTCAACCCTAAAATTGGGAATACACTTACCTAATAGAAATAGAAGAGATGGAGTGGGTGGGGTACTGGTGTAATTAATTAAAGGATAGAAACGGCAGATAAATAGCAACATAATCAGTCGGCTTCTGTTCTGTTGATGATGATATCAATATCATAGGATTTTGTTCGTGGTTTTGCAGTTACATTAGAAGGGCAGGTTGGGATAGTAAGTTAGTGAGAGAGTCATACCCATGGATCGAGAAGCAAATTGTTCACCGGCCCCAACTAGCCCCATGGCAGAAAGCATTGACGAATGGACTTCTTGAAGTCGGGGTCTCGCCTTTTAACGGTTTCACCTACAACCACATCTACGGAACAAAGATCGGAGGGACTACCTTCGATGACTCCGGCCGTCGATACACCGCTGCCCACCTGCTGGCTTCTGCAAATCGTCGGAATCTAAGAGTCCTCATTCATGCCACCGTGCAAAAGATAGTGTTTGACAGAAACGGTAAATTGTAGCTATAGCTATAGCTCTAGCTAGCTAGCTAGCTACCACCTTTACTTTACAGTACTTTAACAAAAATTGTACGTATATATAGTCTGTAGATACAACGTTCGTAACTTTGAAATTAAGAAAATTTGGAGGGGTCGTTGGATGCATATATATCTATAATATATGTGATGATGATGTGGAGTTGGCATTGATTAATTCTTAATTTCTTGCTGGCTCAGGGAAGAAACCCGTGGCTGTTGGAGTGATGTTCAAAGACGAATATGGGAAGCAGCATCAAGCATTTCTGTCAAGGATGAGGCAGAGTGAGGTGATATTGTCGTCGGGTGCTATCGGGAGCCCCCAGCTACTACTGCTGAGTGGCATTGGGCCGGAAGCCGACCTCAAGGAGATGAACATACCGGTGGTGCTGCACAATGAATTCGTGGGCAAAGGAATGTCCGACAACCCCATGAACTCCATATTCGTACCCACAAAGAAACCGGTCAAGCAGTCGCTAATCCAAACTGTAGGGATTACCAAGATGGGAGTGTTCATTGAGGGTAGTAGCGGATTCGGCCAAAACTCAGATAGCATCCGGTGTCACCATGGAATCATGTCAGCAGAGGTTAGTTATTACGTTGTTAATTCTGGAATTGCTTTCTGGGGTGTTTTAATTTTATACCAAACCAGACAATTATATATTTCTTCAACCGTAACTCAAAAGTATATATTGAATAATTAGCTAGATCAGTGAGATGATGCGAATCTACATTATTATTGATTATATATTACTGTACGTTATGCAACCAGATTGGACAGCTCTCTACGCTTCCCCCCAAGCAAAGAACTCGGGAAGCCATCAAAGCCTACATCGATGGAAAGCAGAACCTACCACATGAGGCGTTCATGGGTGGCTTTGTTCTAGAGAAGATCGTTGGGCCGCTCTCGACAGGCGAACTCAGACTGAATAGCACCAACGTGGATGAAAATCCTTCTGTCACCTTCAATTACTTCAGCCATCCCTACGATCTACAGAGGTGCGTATATGGCATTCGCACGATCGAGAAGGTTGTGAGGACGAAGCACTTCGCCCACATCATAAACACTCACATACCCACTGTGGAGATGCTACTCAACATGAGCGTGAAGGCTAATGTGAACCTGATCCCCAAGAAGACCAACGACACCAAGTCTTTAGAGCAGTTCTGTAGGGACACAGTGATCACCATCTGGCACTACCATGGTGGGTGCCATGTGGGCAAGGTGGTGGACTCCCATTATAAAGTCCTCGGCGTTCATGGCCTCCGAGTTGTCGATGGCTCCACGTTCACTGATTCTCCCGGCACAAATCCCCAGGCCACTGTCATGATGATGGGCAGGTAAATTCCCTTAAAATTTTAAGAGCGCTCTCTCTCTCTCTATATATATATATATACACATATACATTTACAATAAGCATTAATTTTGTTTTTTGGGTGAACATGCAGATACATGGGAGTAAAAATACTGAGAGAACGTCTGGGTAGAGCAGCTGGTGTATAAAATGGATTAATTTTTACAACAGATGTTGTTGTACTTGTATGGAAATTAATTTGATTGTTCTAATTCTTGTAGGAAGTATTATTATATTGTTGCCTAGTAGCTAGATGGAAAAGATGGATTATATTGTATTGTATAATAACATAGTTTTTATGTAAAATGTCTTGCTATCGTAGTAATATGTCTTCTTTTCCATTTCTTTTCTTCCTTTCATTTAAAATAAGCATTAGACTCCATTCAACAATTCTATCACCATCCAACTGCAACTTGAATCTTTGTAGTTTTCTATTGTCTAACATAAATTGGTTTAAATAAGGGGCAGCTAGGCCTTGATCATATTTGTTTTTTGGTACTGTGGTTTTGCAATTTGACTTAGGCTGCCAATATTAACGATCAACCTAACAACCTGAATCCGACGACAATTGGATTTGGTTGTTCTGACCCAAATAGAACCCATCCTATTATATATGTATACATGTATAATAGCACATAACAAAGATACAAAGATAGCTTCCAACATTTTATATTTGCTTTTCATGGTTCACCAATAATAAGAGACACAATAGAAATTTTGAGAGAAAAAAAAATCAAGAGAATAGGAAGATTTATTGTCAAATTACCAGGCTAAATACCCTATTGGTTTATAAGATCGATTAATAATAGGGTTGGTTCTGGCGGGTCTGTCACTTTTTTATACTCTATAGGTGTTGGAACTGGGTGTAGGAATTTTCTTATCGGCTTGAGACCGCACTGAGTGCGTCTAACACTAACTTCACAGCGCATCCCAGATGTGCATTGAAAACATCTCATTAATTACTCGATATTATCATTCATGAGAAGATATTTTCCAACGCACAGCTGCGATGCACTGTGAGATTGCTGTGAGGCGCACATCGAAGAGCAAATCCGAATTCATGCTGAACATAGTTTTTTTTTTTTTTCTCCATAATGTAGCAGCAGCAGGTATTAAATATTCACACCAGGTAAAAGGAGTTGTAAATTTGGAGAACACTGATGCATCCAAGGTTCAAAGTATGGGCGTATCAGGGTTCTGATAGGTTTAGGGGGTGGAAGAGTCTTAAACTGTCCCCCTTCAATTGGTTTTAAAAAAAATAAAAAAAGGTAAAATAATACTACCGATATTGCCCGATACACCCCTACTGGCGTATCGGGCATATCAATATTTTGAACCTTGAATGTATCTATAATAAAATATATCACATTGCTAGCATGTATTTTATCCACAAAAGGAAAAAAGATTGATTTTATTGGCAACATATTATGAAAGCAAAGGCCTTATGTCCCCCTAAAACATTAGAGTCAGTTTGGAAAGAGTACAAATCAAGGTTCAAAGTATGGATGAGAAAGATCGAGGCGTATCATATTGTATCGGCAGGGTGCCATTTTTAATTTAGATTAATCCTCAAATTCCTAATATGTTAATCTATGTTCAAAGGCACCCTCAGTGCAATTTACCATACACCCCTTCTCTTGTATCAAGATGTATCCATACTTTCAACCTTGATACAGAAGAACAATTTACAGTGTAAATACAGGTTTAGAAATACAAAATGTACCATTTCCAAACTGAGACTTAGTGTTGCTATTGAAAACATTATGACACCAACGGTTTCAATTTCTGAGGGCTGCTGTAAATTACAAGTACCTTGTTCTATATCAAATGTTCCTTATTTAGGGCCTTGACAATGCACGATTGAAACGATCAGTTTGGTCGAATGGTCACCTCACCGGTTCCACTACTATTTTGCAAGTTGAGATGCACTCCGTATAAAAGGTCCCTTCATGTTTTTTAATTTAATATTCTCAACACAAAGGGACTGAACTAAACCAAGAGGATGGAAAATCTTGTTCAAATCAAAATCACCTCAGTGGGAACGTTTATTGAGATACATTAAGAATCATGCCTCTTTTAAAGGCACAAGTTTACAAGACCATGATTCATACTCCGAGTGGACCTCATTCATGCTTCTGAGAAGAGCCGCATGATCCACTTGGGATAAACCTTACAAGATCATGGCTTTGAAGGTAAACTGTATTTCATGTCCTTGTCCCACAAATTACAAGTTGTCTTGACATGAGAACCCACAATGTCTCCACAGTCTTCTGGATGGGGCTTTCATCTGGAACCCGGCCATAGCCTGAAAGCTACCCCATGTTCACTTACACTACCTCTAGACACGCCTCTTAATCTCTGCCAAAACTGCCTGCCCCTCCCTGTTCTCAGAGGGCCCGAACTAGAATGCCTTCTAAAAGATCCTGATACTTGCCTCCCAAGTCTTTCTGATGTACTGAATACATCCGAAGCTGATAATGCCCCATGAGCTCCAATAATGGAATCATAATCGGCCATAGCATAGTAGGAATGTGTAGGTTCTGGAAATTGACCTGAAGCAGTACTCATCCTACTATCCAAATCAATCGACAAGTTGTCCTGGCTACGGCTATCTGATCCCACTCCCTTTGTCTCATCGCATTCGTTGCATACGAGTTTTAATGCTTGTACCACCTCGCCCATGAAAGGCCGGTGTGAAACTTCTGGCTGTACACACATTGAAGCAATTGCTGCTACCTTGGCCACACTATCAAATGGGAGATTAGATCCTAATGCAGGGTCAATAATCGCTTCTAAACCCACCTTACTTGTAAGGAGTGGGCGAGCCCAGGCAACCAAATTCTCTTGACCTTCTGGCTGTGACATGTCCACAGGTTTTCTTCCTGTTAGGAGCTCAAGAAGTACTACACCATAGCTGTAAACATCACTCTTCACAAGAAGATGCCCAGTCATTGCATACTCCGGAGCTACATAACTGGTGAAAAAAACACGTTATTATATTTTCTTTGATAAATAAAACATGTTTTTAAGGACAAATGAAAAAAAAAACTAAAGCACGTCAATGCAAATATGAATGCAGATCTAGAAATTAGATTGTCTAGGCCCTGGCCCTCCAAAACAAGGATCACATCAGCATAATAATGCCTTACCCCAGACTTACAGATATCACATTGAGTGTTAAGGATGTGGGTCTGGAGAAAAGGAAAAGAAACATAAGAAAATCAAAATTCTTCTTTATTTTTCAATTTATTGGTACGTTTAATATGATTAAACCTATTTCTTGCCATTCAACATGTTTTTGAGAGAATTATGGCCATTTTACCGATAAGATGTCTGTCTGAAGGAATTTGGTTCTTGCTATTTTTTAGTATCATCTTGGAGTTGTTTTTGGTTAGTTTGGTTTAGAAGTATGCTAGGCATTTTGAGTTGCTTTAGTATTCAATGTTCATGTCTTTGCCCCTAGCCCCCTATGAATTATGTATGGGTTAATTCAATTAGGAGTCAATTCTAGTTAGTGTTTCAGTCTAATTGAAATTTGTAGAGGGAAAGACAAGCCTCTTAAGTCATTGTAATTGAGTGTTACAACAAGAATAATGAAACAATATAGCTTGAATCTTGTATTGTACCAAGGCTGTGTTATATTCTTCAATATTTCACATCTAAAACTCTTATGTTTCCTCTTTCATTATACTATAACAAATCTGAATTCTTTCTTGCCCACTATGTATTCCCCGGTAGGACTTCTACTTCACATCCTACGTTACTTGACCTTGCACAAGTATCATAGGGAGATTGATGAAATTCAAACATCATGAGAAGGAAAAAGTTTGTACCCAAATGTTCCCATAACGCGTGTTGAAATGTGTTTATTTCCCTCATCCAAAGCTGCTCGGGCCAAACCAAAATCAGACACCTTGGGAGTAAAATCATGTTCCAACAAGATGTTGCTGGACTTGAAATCTCGATGAATAACACGAGGGCTTGAATCTTCATGTAGATAGGCCAGACCACGAGCTGCACCAAGTGCAATCTTCATTCGGGCACCCCAGTCAAGTGGAGCGGCTTCCTTGTCTGGTCCTGAAGAAGAAGACAATAGCATCTAAGAAGTCATTTTCCCAAATGATCAGAGGACAAAAATTAAAACTAGTTAAAAAGAGAAAAAAAAAAAATTACATATTACCATGTAGATGGGACTCCACACTGCCATTTGGAATGAGTTCATAGACCAGACATCGAGTATTGTCCTCTGTGCATATACCAATCAATTTAACCAAGTTACGGTGATGCAAACGGCTAAGCATCTCTACTTCTGCCAAGAATTCTCGGCTACCCTGCTGATCATCTCTCTTAAGAACCTTTACAGCGACCTTCATCCCATCGTCAAGGGTACCACTATAGACACGCCCAAAACCACCTTCTCCCAGTATTTTTGAAGCATCAAAGTTATCAGTGGCTCTTTCGATCTCACCTGCGCTAAAAGTTTTTGCAGATCCTGTATATGTTGCAATGCTAGAGCCAAAGGATAGTGATGCAGAACTAGGTCCACTTCCAAACACCAAAGATCCAGCAGCCCCTGCAGATTTGAACATTCATTGTTTAACTCCAAAATAAAAATAAAATAGTACTTTGAAGCAGTGTTTTCAACCCACTGTTGACCCAGCCAGTTGAACCGTTCGAACCGTCACCCAGTCAGGATTCCGGGTCCAGTTCAGTCAAAACCCATCAGGCGGTCAAAAACCATTGACTTGGTTAAGAACTGTCCGATCCATCCGGTTCAACCGCTGACCCGGTCACCAGGTTGTAGGTTGCACACTCAATGCATGCAAACTTTCGGAGGCCATAACTTTGCACTCCGATGTTTGATTGGGGTGATCCTTTTTTTTGGGTAACTTTACGAGATCTATGTGTCCCAAGTTGTCGTAGGCGCCTTGTCCCACTATTTTCGCGAAAAAAAAACCCTTTTTTGGCCTCAACTTGCAATTTTTAATATTTTTCTAAATAAAAAAATTAAAAATTGAATTAAAAAACATAAATTAAATATAAATATACATATGACATATCATATATATATAGCACTTACCCGATGGTTTTGTAAGGGAAGGTACTAAAGCTTCTATAGTGGATGCAGGTTGAGCAACATGCTTTCCAAATTTCAACAGCAACAGCCAAGCAACTCCTATACATAACACAATGGCTATAGCAGAAGATAAAACTATGATAGCAATCATGCTGCCACCAAGTCCCCCTTTCTGTCTTCTCCTTACATCAACTCCCAGAGGGTGTATTGTCCTTCCATCATTTCCACGGCCAGAGAAAGGCCCACCATCAACAGTGGTAATGCTTGAGGTTGCTGAAGGTGGGGAGGGAGGAAGACCTGATTCGATGCAAGTATTACTAACATATGCCAGAATACATGATAAAAGTACACAAGACAGACAAGGAACTTTGGACCCATTCATATGTACCTGGATATTTAACATATAAAACTTCATAGTCACCAAAGAAAGAATACTTTATTGCAATCTGCTTATGCCAGAATTTTGCATAGGTCAGATATGCTGTAGTGTTATCAAAACTTTCTCCAAGTGGTACAAGATCGATGAGGACAATGGTTTTCTCCGGTTCTTGGCTTGCTGCATTTGCTCCCATGATGCGAACTTGACTTTGTTTCATGAAAACTCCAGCGGCTATCTCTGCTGCCAGTTCAGAAACCAGAGGAAAGAAGGTGTATAGGGAAACACTAAGGCGCAACCCAACTTGCATTGGCAACACACAATAACAGGGTGATCCTGGAGGGGTATTTGTATAAGGATCCATGCATGCCAATGATGTACAATCTACAGGAACAATCAGGCTCAGGTGTCACTGTAGTAAACTTGTGAAAGATGAAGAGCATAAATAGGAACATCAAATAGAACTTAAAAAGGACTGGATTCTTTAGAGGAGAACTACAAGTTTATTTACCTTCATTAGGAGGTGGTGGGGGTAAAGCTTGAGCTGATGGGGATAATGGCATCTTTGGCTTCCTTGGCAAAGAACCTGAAGGAGAAGTTTTGGGGAAGAAAACATATCCATGCAGACAGAAGATCTGATGAGCAAATGTTCACAAGCATCTAATGTAGATAAAACAGATAAAGTCGGAGACAACAAGTTCCCCCATACTTTGGCTGGATTGAACTGTAGGAGATGGCCCAGGTGCAGAGGAACCATGCTTTACTGTTGGAGAAAAAGGAGCCTGGATAGGAGAGATAGATGGACCTGCCAGATGGGACCCAAGTAAGAAGCCAAAGCAAGCAGTCCAATTTAGTGCTAAGATTCTTGGTTGCATATGAACAGGAGGATCATTGAGTACCTTGTCTCAAGGGTGGCAGACCATGTTGCCTTTGTCTACTTTTCTTCGGCAATGCAGCTGGAGCATTTGAAGGTGCTGGAGTGATGACTGGTCCTTTAAAAGAAAAGGAAAAGGAATATATTTTGATTATCCAAATCTTCAGGCATGCATTATTATCTATCAATAACAACTTGGTAGAAATGATTTTCAGGTAAAAATATCAAACCTTTATGATGGGAAACATGAGGATGAGATAAAACTGGTGCGGGAGCAAGGCCACTGGCTCTTTGATTTGCATGGTTATGCTTATATAATGGCATATAAGGTGAAGGTGTGGGAGCATGAACTTGTCTTCTCTCTGGAGCCTTGGAAAATGACTTTGATGGTGCATATGCCTTATAAGATGGTTTCAACGTTTTCTGTGGAGCAGGGGCCACAACAGGAAAAGGACCTGCAGGCATTGTTAATCCTCAAGGGCATTGAACTTTCAATTTTAGGGTCCATAAAAACTCGCATATAAACAACCTGACTTGGTTACCTTTAGCTGGAGAATGGTTTGTATGGCTCATGGGAGATAAATGATTGAAAGATTCCTTTGGAGGTGTAGCAACTGGCATTCCATATCCCTTCATACTTTGGGTGGGAGGACTTGATTTTGGAAACATATGAGGTTCTGTAATATCATTTTGCAATATATACCTAACATCAATTAAAATACTTTGAAGCAGTGTATATCCCTGATAAGTCCTCTTGTGGTACTTGAAGATTCGAAAGAGAATAAAAATGAAATTCCAAGAAATGTTAAAAGAGGTATGTTAAAAAAAAAGTCCACGACTAATCAAATTCAGTTCACTGGAAACCCATCTAGTGACCATATGAGGACTTTCACACTGTGGCTTATGGACTTGCAAGGTTGGGCCCACCCAGATAGCTTATAAGCAATATTTGTTGAAAAATAGACCAAAAAAGCTAATACAAGTCTAAGCCCTCGCAAACAGGGCTCTAATCTGGAAACAAATGGAAGAAATTGCATACATACATGGCAAAGTAGTTTAGGTATCAAAGTTTGAAAAATTATAGGGCTACATCCTTCCCCCTTTTTCTTGCAATGAAAGTGATTCTTTTAAAAATAAGTTGGATTAAGCCTGATGTCAACTACAGGACACAAAACATGGGCAATCTAAAGGGTCCCCTATCTGATGAACGGTCTGGATTGGCCATAAAATTCCTCCATGTGGCTTAAATAAGGTGGGCCATGTAGGCAAGTTCTCTGCTTACCTGACTAGTCAGGTAATTTAGTGAAGAAGGTTAAGGCTGAACAAGGAACCTTCCACATGGCAAATTGGTTTAGGCCCATAATGGCTACCCAAATTTGAGCCCAGAAACCCTTGCCACAAGGTCAGAGTAAGCCCTTCTTTTTTGGCAAGCTTAACATTAAAATATTAGAACTTCCAACAGACTATTTTTACTTGAAGAAGATGCTAAGGTGGTCACAAGATGACATGGACAGGAAGATTGCAAAGGTGGCCAATCCAGAGGGTTCCCTACTACATGGATGGCTCAGATTGGCCACATCATGTCTACATGCAGTTTCGGACCAACTCAAAGTCAATACTTGACACCACAAAATGATTTCAAATTTTAGAAGACATATAACAGATCAATACTTAATTTCATAATATTACATAGAGATCGGATTTGCTCCTCACAGAACACGCCTCACACTGACCTCACAGCATGTTTCAGCCGTGCAATCTGGATCATCTCCGTAATTATAAATTTTTATTCATGGGAGATGTTCCCAGTGCACGGTTGAAACGTGCTGTTAAGTCAGTGTGAGGCACGCTCTGTGACGAGTAGATCTGAACTCTATTACATAAACATCTGTAATTAAAAAAAGAAAAAAAAAACTAATCATATGAGTAATGGAAAGCTTGTCGAAAATAAATTAAAGAAGGATGTAACCATTTCCCCCTTACATTTCATATATCTATGTACTTTTATATAAGTTATTTCAGTGAGATTTAGAAAGGTCCATTTATATTCAAAAAAAAAAAAAGAAAAAAGAACTTAGAGAGGTCCATTACCCAACGTTGGTCCTATCTATCCAGGGTCTTGGGAGGGTTGGACTGGATATGGTTGGCATTTTGTTCACATCGTGGCCACTCTCAGACTTTAACCCACCTTCTCATGCACTAGTCTGAGATTTTAACATTGCACCAAACAATGGCCCCCCTTATTACTTCAGTGAGCTTACAAAACTTAATCATTGAATACACTGTATATCTACAAAGAAATTGAAATAAATAAGATGAATTGTACACTTGCAAAGAAAAGCATGAAACCGAAAATTAGGGTGCTGATTAAACCCATAAATCTTCCGATCAAATCACAAAGACATTTAAGAGTGATATTTGAATTTTTCTTTTTTAAATATTGGCAATATTTGGGCATACTTTTGAGATAATGAGATATTGGGACATGTCAAAGATATTAAAATTTGTCAATTTGAGAATATTGCTTTTCCACAGAGATTTTATCTCTCTGTTCAGAAGAAACAGCAGAAATATGAGGCTTTTTTTTTTCCAATTTATGAACAAAGGTTTCCAAGATGCATTTGAAGGACCAAGGTAATATAGGTTTTGGAAAGAGGTTGATGTGTTTCAAGTTTCAACTGACACAAGGAGCAAGAAATTCCTGCAACAGGACAAATGCTCCTTCAGTAAATGTTGAGAGAAAAATATAAAGAGCACCTGGAGACATAAACGGAGTTGATCTTGGCCTGAGTGAACTTGAGGTTGGAGGATTCAATGGAGATTTCCTTGGAGTTGATGCTGCTAGTCCTGTATTGACGAAATAAGACAAGCTGATTTAGGACCATTTTCAACTAGAAAAAGCAATGGAATAATTTAACCTTCAAGTCTCATTGGAAAAAGCCTTAACCATTTGTTGTTCTTCTTTGAGGAGCATTTGGCAGTGGGGATGGTGTAAACCCTTTGATGGTTTGGGGTAGAGGTGCTGACTTTTGAAGACTCTCAGGATCTGGGGGCATGGATGGCACTAAACCATGGATGACTTGGGGCACTGGTCTAGAACTATTGGGTGGCAATTCCTTTGAAAAATGTATGATTGACCCTGGAATTTAATCCAGTAGCTTTATTAATGGATAGTGAAAACACACAAAAGCTTTCTAGTATAATAGTTAACAAAAATTACCATTAAGAAGGGGTTCTGGACTTGGAGCTCCATTTCCCAGAGACTTCCCATAATAGCCAACACTAGATTTTGTTTCCTTACTTGGAGAAATTGCAGAAAAAGTTGCTGGTGATAAATTGTACCCTGCAAATATAATAGAAAGTTGTCAATCAAGGCTTCATTTTTTATTACATATATAATCTTGATTTCATATTCCTCTGATCAGAAGTCATGGGATAACACTAACAACTCCACGAGAGAGAGAGAGAACTTTGCTTTCCACAATTAGAGCTCGATTTAGAAGGTGGGGATTTTTTTCATAATTGATGATTTCCCAAGAAAGATAGTCCCTTAATGAATCTTAAGTATTGTTATTGATCCAAAAAAAAAAGATGTCTTTGAAGGATAAGTAGTAGAAAGAATCTAGCGCCATGTCTAAATTTTGAAATTATGTTTTTTTTTGGTTGGCTCAACAAGATAAACACCATCACTCGTTCATTCACAACACAATTACAGGATAACTCCTGGATTGAAAGAGTGCAAAAAAGATTTCTCATGTAATCCGGAGGCTGATCCACCAATGGTATTATTCGAGTTGTTATCTTTGCACAATAAAGAAAATCCTTCCCTAGATAATGGATGTCACTAATTCTATCTTCCTTTTTTTTAGATTTTCTGGAGGAGGGAGTTCAGAGGAAACCTCCATGTTAGGCCAGAAGTGAGATTGCCTAAGACTGACACTAATATAATCAAGACTTATTATGCTAAATAATCAGCCGTTGGAGTTAGCCCCAGCTACTATAGATGACACCAAAGAATAGTTTTTTAACCGTTAAGCCGATTTCTGTGCATTGGGGACGAACTCTACTTAAGAAAGTATAAGCTAGAGTGATGAACGACTAATCTCTAGTCAATTTCCTTATAAAATGACAGCCAATTCAGACCAAAGTCAAGGTACAAGGAAACCGAGTTCCACAATATCCCGTCTTTGGTGCATCACTCTCCTTACATTACATAAATCAAACAATACCCATCTCGACATAGACTTGATTCAATCACCTACTTGCAGTTTCTTCTGAACTCGAATCACACAAATAATTATTTACAAGAGCCGAGATCCCTAAATTGTTCTGCTTATATAAGAATCATCAAAAATTCCAAAAAGAAGACAGATTTGATCATCTGATAATTGCACAGACCAAATCAAACTTACACTTATGCCGAATGTGCACAATGAGAACGATATCCATTACCTGCAGATCCATGAAGTATCAAAGTGCCAAGAATGAAGAAGAATTTCAGCAGCAGCAGCATCAGTTGCATAGCCATCCCCGTCCCCTCCCGAGGAGAAAATCGGAGATCGATCACGAAACTCCCCACCCAAAAACTCCAAAAAATAGGGAAAATAGAACAAGAAAAGAACAATAAAAATAAATTTACAGATGGGTAGCCTTCAAGTAAAAACAAAACATAAGTTGGATTAGAGTATTAGAGAAGGCCCAAAAATAGTATGAGGAAAGTAACCAGAAGGCAGTTAAATGAAGACCCAGAAACCGGTAGAGAAAAACCCAGGTGTCTGTTTCTTACGAACAAGCTCTGAAATCTGCAGAGCTTTGAGATTGCCATGCAGAAGAGAACCGTTTCTCCTGTCATGAGTTATTTAAGACGGCTGAAACACAAAAAAGGAAAGCAAGGATAAACGAAAGAAGATCTGTTAAACGGACACACTTAAGAGAAACACGGAGCATTCACTGGAATATTGTTTGGAGAGAGAGAGAGAGTTTCCACTTTCGGCTTTCCATACTCCATGGTGGGAGCTGAGAAGGAAAGATAAAAGACTAAAATGACAATAAATTAAATAAATTTAAAAAAACAAAAACTTTTGCGTTGAATGATGGGATTTTTAAAGGGAAAATCTATGATGTAGAAGATATGATATGGAAAGAGTTTTGACCGATAAAGCCATGAATTTTGATAAATAACATCACGTTTCGTTTATTATGATTTCGATTTATTGGTCAGTTATTTTTCCGATATCATATCTTTTCCATCGCTTGACTCCTTGTATTCACGATTCAAATTCAACAGTGGGTCCTGCACATGGGTCTCCCTCTTTGACCACAGGATTGGTGTCGGATGAGAGGAATAAGGTTTGGAATAGATTCTGATCTCGTGGCAGAAAAGCGCCTACCGGGTGTGAACTGTGATGTGGGGTCTCAAGTCAAACAGTAGCAAACTAGCAATTGACAAGACGCCGTTTGTGAAACAAGATAAATTTATTGAAGCTACTTGGCGGATATACCATGATTGTATTCTTCTCTAGTCTGTCTTCTTCTTCATCCAGCTTCTGGGCCTGACGCACATGGGCCCATAGCCCACGGCACATAGTTGATGTGTGGAGTTTGAACCAAGTAAAAGTTGGGGTGGGCAACTGATTATCTTTAGTTCATTAAAAGCGTCGTGTTCGTTGATTCTCACCGAAGGGAATGAAACGTCGGCATGGGAAGGTGGTTGGGTTGGACTTGGAAGGAGACCCACATCCACTTCCATGTCCCAAGGAGCAAGGGCGGAGAGAGCCCACTGCCCACTATTGTGACTTGGTTTCGTTCCGTGACCAGTTGTTTGTATGTGGGGGCCCCACCCCACCCGGCCCAGCCCAACTGCTTCGTTGGAGGTTTTTTTATGACTTATGAGTGGCGTGTGGCGTTGGAATTGGACACCGTTGTGAATATGGTGGTCACTGGTAAGGACTCAGGGCCCACCCGGGTATATGTTTTATTAGATGTGATGGTGAAATTGGACTCCTTTATTTACTCAAATTAAGACAAGCTCCATCACTGCTTTCAAACCTGGACAAGAATCTGGGTGGTCGAACCGGGTGGAAATAAATAAAAATCCTACACAAACCATACAACTGGCCAGATTATTTACTTCAACTAGATAGTTCAGCCACTGGTACAACTCGGAACTCTGTTGCACCGTTGAGTTCCCTTCTGGATGTCTAGTTTCTCATGGGTTTTACACTAGACCAGCCCTTGGTCCAATGGGGTCGGACCAAACTGATACAGAAAATGGGGTAGGTCCTTATGCTTGTCATCTGAAAAATTGCCCTGACTGACTTAAGTACTTACTACCACACAGACACAGCACGAGACTCCTGGTCACCAGAGTCTGTAAAACTTCATCAAGGCCCCAGCAGAATGCACTGAACATTTGGACTCGTTGTGTTCAGAAAATAGTTCAAGTCCAGCTCACCCACTAGCCAATTTTTTGTCTTACTAAACACACGGCAGATCATAACAGAATAATATAAACCCCGTGACTGACTATCAACTTTCTTCATTTTTTTTCCTGGGATATGATCCAAGTCCCACGAATCTTAGTATCTATTATAAACAATTAGCAGACAATTAATGGGGTCAAATCAGTACAGATGATATGTGCCCATCGTTGTTAATAAAATAAGTGAATGAGAGAGAGAGAGAGAGAGAGAGAGGGAGCATTGGTGATGGTGAGGCTTTCATACAACAAATTTCATAGTTAATTCCACATTAATTTTTTGACTTATAAGCAAAGCCCTTGGGAGGCTTTATGTTACAAAAGCTTGGGGGTCCCCACTCCCCAGGGCATCTGCATCTGTTCCTATTTCTTGCCATCCACTCCTTCCCTCTTTTCACTTAGGCCTTTTGGGCTCATCTGCTTTGGTTTATCTTGTTTCTGTTTTAGTATACAATATGACTATGTATCATCCTTTTATATGAAGCTTTTCAACAAACAGATGGTGCAAAGAAGTGTTGAAGCCTTGGGGACCAACATGTATAAAGCCTTTTAATTAATTGCTTGGTTGCACTTGATCCCATTTCATCAACTCGTCTCCACTTTTTTTGCTTTGCTGGTTTGCTTCCTTTTGTTAAGGCTGAAAAAAGAAAAACAAAAGAAATTAAAGAAAGGTTCCCAATCAGTGAATAGGAATATTTCTCAGACATGCTTTGTTTGGTCCTACAAAACCTCCTCTCAAGGAACTTTTTTGAGAAACCATGAGGGGCGCCATGTCAGATGAACATGACCTATAGGACAAATTTGAGTTGGGCCCATAAGGAAGCTATGTCACTCTGCTTTTAATGTCGTTTTTCTTTGCTTGTGAATGGGAAAAGAACTTCTGGTATTAAAAAAAAAATATATATATATATATATATAATAATAAAATTGAGACTAGGGTCCCTATGTATATGATGTTCAGTGGGGTTACTTTGGATGATTTGGATTATGATGTGTTACAAAACCAAACGTGCTGAAGAAAGAAAGAAAAAACAAAAGTTAAGAAAGTATGACATAGAACAGAGAAGACCACCCAGATGTATAGAGAATCAAAATGACAATGGTTCAAGTTAAAGAGAAAAACCACCAACTTCATTTTTTTTTCTGTAGACGTCCAATGGCTTCAAATGTTCCTTTCAGATTTCTTTCCTTGTTAGAACTCAGAACAATCAAACATACAAAGAAATGAAAATGAAAAGTTGTACAGCATGAGGCATCTGACTACTTCATTGACCCAGCTACAGAGTCCAGCATTTCTCGGTGCATGCAGGGTATCTGATACATGAAACTGAAGAAAGACATCCAGATATCAAACAATTTCCAGTCCACGGATTGCTTTCTCCCATTGATTTACCCATGCTGATCCTGCATTAGGCATGAAAACATATATCTATATATATTGTGAATTTTTAATATGGTGCAATATATGTTTTCATGATTTAGTTTTATAGTTTTTGAATAAAGGGGCCTATTATTTACATGTAAAGACTAACATCACCTTTAATTTAATTCAAAAACTTAAAACATTAATATTATTTACCTTTGAGTCTTCGTAATATATTCACACGTGAACTGTGAATTGTGAATCACAACAAGAGAAAGAAACCAGAGAAGAACAATTTCACAAGTTAATTAGGTGATATATCATTCATCAGTCCCAAAATCATGAGCCTTTTCCAAGCCACGATTTCTACAGAAGGTGCTTAAAGAAGAAGAAAAGGAATGAGCGGTAAAGATGATATAGCCAGTTAGGCAGTTACAATAGCTGTTGCACCAACCATTATAAAGATGAACCGGTTGGATTAATTAAACTCCATATGTGCACGTCTATCTTATTCGTATATATAGGAGATTGGGCTTGGCCCAGGATTGAATTGGGTGGCCTAAGGTCTCAATCAAGCCCGACCAAATCTATGGCTTCCCAATGTTTTTGAACCTAGGCCCATTACAACCCTGCAAAACCCAGCCCAATTTAAACGAAATGATAGCTTCCGCCTTCCTTTGGGGTCAGAAATTTCCACCAAGAAATCTGTGACTGATATATTTGTTTGAACTTTGAAGTGCCTCGAAAACCCTAGGCCTAGGAAGAAGCTCGGACAATCTTGTCGAATGGCCAGAAAACAGGGATAACCCTCCCCAAAAACCTGATGAAGGACCACATTTGAGCCTCTGACACAGTTGCTTGAGGCAACTTCCTTTGCTGCTAGAGGAGGCCATACTTATTTTTTTAACCTTGTTGTCTCAGAGGAGGTTGAGATCATAATATAGTAGCCTTTAGCCTTTTACATTTCTTGCAGATAGGACTAATATATAAAATTGCCCTTCCCTAGACAAGCACATTAGAGCATTAATGGCAACAATCTTGACAACCCCTAACGCTATGTTTTTTTTCGCAGAAAATAAGAGAGGAATATTTATCAAATCAAACACTGCCCTAGTGTTTCGGTTCTTGTTTCTGAAATCTGCGATTCTACCATTTCTTTGTCATTTCAGTTCTTGTAGGTTCCTCTCAACTCAGTATCTTTAGTTTCTCTTTTAGAATTCCCTTTTTTATATATACAATAGGAAGGAAACAAAAGAAACTAACACAGGAAAAACCAACAAACTTTAGAAGGAAGCATTACACTCAATAAAATGACCACATGCATTAAAAAAAAAAAAAAAAACCAAATGTAACTAAGGAGATGATCTTCAAGCCTCAGACCAAAGAAAGATAAGTAATGAACCAAGCTAGCGAGGTGATCCACTACAAAGTTTGCTTCCCTTAATGCATGAGAATAGGAGATGTTGAGTTTAGAACTGGTTTGAAGATGCCGACATTCATTCATGAAGTTCATATGTTCCATGGAGGCACTAGACAATCACAAATGCAATCAATGATAATATTAGAGTCCCCACCATTCAAATACGTGGTTTTTTCAAATTTAGATACATGGCATTTTTTGAGAAGTTGTTAAAGTCCATAACCCACTACCATGAGTTAGACAAGTGGCATTCTCATTTTCTAGAAAGCTAGACATATGATAATTTGGTGCAGTACAGGAAAAGGCCAATAAATTCTATGCAAGTTGGGACCATTCCAAGGCACATAAGAAGTAAGGGTGACGCCACCGGCCCAATTTAGTAAATATTTACTGATATAGCATCATCATAAAATTTCTATCTTAGTTCGTTTTTATTAAGTTGGCACCATCACTAAATTTCTATCTTACTTCGTTTTTACCAAATTAGCATTATAATGAGATTTTGAATTTATATTCAATTAGGACTTTACTTTTAAAGGGTTTTTAATAGGATTCTATTATGGAGTGTTTTCTTAAATTATGATTGCTCAATTAAGACTTTCTTTTTGAGGAATTTTAGTAGGATTCTATTATGGAGTGTTTTTAGATTAGGATAGGAGCCATAAGGGTGTATGCCTATATAAAAAGTAGTTAGGGGAATGCTAAGATAGTTTTTGACATTGAATTTTCTTTTAATTATTCAGTGAAGAATCATTCTTCTTGGTAGTTTGACTTCTGCTCTTTTCTTTGAAGCTTTTCTCAATGTGTTTTGTTTTCGTACTA